TGTCGCTCCGAATGACTGCTGGGAAATTATCCATCGTAAGATATTCAGTTGGCATTTTATTCTTTAAACAATCATTTTAGTCAAAAGAACATATTACACACGTAACAGAAAATTACTAATTAGCTGACAAAACATTCTTTTTATTCAGAAGTGAAATTCCCTAAATATTATAAACATTGGTTGCATGCGCACATATGTGGAGGAGAGGACTGCTAACGTAGGAGAGAGTTCCCTAACGAGATGGGCCAGCGTTACTCTTCCACTATGAATCTCTATAATAGTTTAGTTACCTCAGGATGCCGACTTTCGAATGAACTTCCTTCAGGCTGAATGCAAAATCTACATTCTATAAAACATGACCACTTATTGAGCATGAACTTTTCTAATTGATTTTCGATGCCCCTAAATGTCCAATTATTTTTCATGAAAGCACGCACAAAAATATTCATTCTTTTGCTCATTCAGTAGAAAGTCACGTCTTTTTTTAATTTTATAATAGAGGGAGGGGCATAATTCGATTTTTGAAAAAGTTTGTAATTGTTGGGCTCTTAAATACCGTAAAAAGGCCGCTCGTATATCTTCGTGTCTCTGCAGTTACGAATGTGGCTTGTAAAGTTAACAATATACATTAAATCCACAAACGTTTTGCAGATTCAATAGCTAGAAACTCCATAAATTTAAAAACATGTATTTTTTAAGCTGAGATTACTCCCTTTTGCTTGCAAGCGATGTAATTTCTCATATCCTCCCTTAACTGGTCCTTTGGAAAAAGAAGACGGGATTTTCTTCCTGCTTTTCCTGTTGATATTTGTCTTCGTTTACAGCACAATGTACATTAATAGGAAGTCTTAATCTGCACACCGCAGTAGCATGGGAGGGTCAAATTTCGTTCATATCTGACCAGTTTTCCTTTAATCAAAGTGACTTGAAACGAATGCCTCTCTAATGAATGGCTTTCTGCGCGTCAAATGAATTGAATGAACACAAACAACAACGTCAAATCTATGCCATAGTTGGAAGTCATATTTCGGCTACGACATTCTGTGTGGCAGACCACTTGCTGTATATATGCAAGTAAGGAAATACAGACAAAGTCATGGGAGACCGGAATGGTCATTTCTGGCTTAGCAGCCGTCATCAGCCAGTTATACCTAACCCCAAGTATCGATCCCCTGAGATTCGAAAGTGGAATCTTTACTCATGGAGTTTGACATTCTACCATTAAGCAGGGGACCCGTTGTCCTGCCGGATGTGATCGGGAGTATTAATTATGGTAGGAAGGCTTTCTACCGATCGGTTTTACGGAATGCACTTGTTCTATCGTGCCATGATGCTCAAACTGGAACCCTCGAAGTCAGTCGCTCAGCGACCAGTAGCGTATGCAAGTAAGGTGATGCCGACAAAACAAATGCTTATTAATATGGAGACAATTTACAGTCTTATATATTTTCCGCTTTGCAGGATTATGTCCCAAATATGTAGTGTCAGTTAAATTACACTTGCAGACGTGATTATAATTATGAGGTAATTCGCTCATATTCACGACATAAATTTTGGTAGTAAGTGCAAAACTGAACCAGCCAAGATGAGATTTGCATAGGCCTTCGTGTGTTTCACAATCATCTCTGTCTTAAATTTGTAAGTAAATCTTTCCTTCACAAGCTGGACAATACGTCATCCTTAATGGTTTCCTGAAAGGAGAACAGGCAGGCATTGTGTGGAAGTCGGAGCTTCCCACTGGTCGATGCCCTGTTGGAATACAATACAAATTAGCCGGCACTCCGGAGTGTAAGTCAAAGTCATCGTTTCAGTCATAAACACTTTGTTGTACTTTTTTTTCCTTATTACTCTTCGTGCCAGTCATTAGCGAAGTCGCTTATTTAACTCTTAAGTATACATAGATGGCAATAGGCAGACAAATGCTTATCGATTTGATGAAGTGTATTTTGAGTCAGGACATACAAAGAAATAACCGGTTGTAATTTTAACAGCTTTACGAATTACATCTCAAAAATATCGCATGCTATGATTTTTCCTCCAGATCCACCGCTGCCTTCGGGAGCAGTATCTGTCTTCGCGAAAGAAGTCCTTAAAAATGAAAGGCTCATCCATATTCTGATTTTCAATGGAAAACGATTGGTAATCATCGGAAACCAATTTAATTATTGCATCTATGCGACCTACATGAGAAACGTTAGTGTGTAGGAATTAAGCTCAGGAGCCCATGTAATTAACGCAGTTGCATGTGTTACTGTACAGAGGATGTGCTAACTCATGAAATGTAAATCAAAATTTCGAAATGCGTTCTCGTTTCGAAAAGATAAATTAAGCAGTGTTGCAAAACTAATCATGATGCAGCATGAATCTATAATGATCCAATTACCGCAGGGTGTCGGCATTCGAAAGAACATATTATCGGCTGCATGCAAGATCCATATGCTGAAAAAATGACTACTTAATTAGCATGCAATTTTTTCACTGATTTTCGATGCCCTTGAAAATTTAATTATATTTCATGGAAAGCTTGCATAAAAATATTCAATTTTTTACATATTCGGTAGAAAATCACGCCTTCTTCCAATTTCATACTAAAAGAAGAGTATAATTCGGTTTTAAAAAATTTCTAATGATCAGATTTTTTAATACCGTTAAATGGCCTTTCATGAAACGTCATGTATCTGCATTTAAGAATGTTGCTTGCAAAGTTAACAATATTGCTCAAATCAACTGCTTAATTTTATGAACCTCATATGACCTCCCCTTAACATCGTAGAGAAATGCATGGATTTCCATACACGGAAAATATACAGCTTATACTTTTGAAACCCTGAATGCAAGTGTAACAGCAGGTCGGGTTCATAATTATTCGGGAATTAGGAAAGTTTTTTGAAACCGAATTATACTCTTCTTTTAGTATGAAATTGGAAGAATACGTGATTTTCCACCGAATAAGTAAAAGAATGAATATTTTTACGCATGCTTTCCATGAAATATAATTGAGTCTTCAAGGGCATCGAAAATCAATGAGAAAATTGCATTCTACTTACGTAGTCATTTTTTGCAAATTATAGATCTAGCATGCAGCCTAAAATAAGTTCTTTCGAAAGCCGACACCCTGCGGTAATTGGATCATTATAGATTTATGCTGCATCATGATTAGTTTTACAACACTACTTAATTTATTGTTTCGAAACGAAAACGAATTTCGAAATTTTGGTTGACATTTCATGAGTTAGCACATCTACTGTATATACTATTGTGAACTGAACAAGAATGCATCATTAGTAAATACATTAATTTTATCCTTATTATCTCCATGTCAAGTAGATGCAATGTGTTTGTTTAATACTTTAGTCTATTTCATTGTCCTCATAAGTAAGCGTCTCATCAAAGGAATAACAACAGCGGCACCATTTCATGTTCGTAACCTTTTAGAGCCTATCCCATATCGGGAACATTTCTGTGGAAAAAAGGGATGACAATATTATATCACTCCTAGGTTTGACCGGTAAGTGCATAATCCGGTGTTCCGAAAGATTTCATACAGGTCATGTCCAATGGAACTGATCTTTGCAAAACACTTTGAACCACAGTTTCCATATTAAACCCTTTTTGCACATATGCATGTGTGTTTTCAGGAGGGGACTGGGACAAACTTGTACTATTTACGGGACATTTGGGAAGCCAAACGCGACAAATGGAGATAAAGTTTACGACTGGCAGGATTACTCGTGTTACTATAAATCCTTCCAATAAATCGGAGGCCATAGCCCCAGTCTTAACATTCATTGACTACGAGCACGCCTTCAAGTGCACAAAGAATTAGTTCCGGGTGTTGGCTTCACGATTTTTTGAATGGCAGTGTGTGGTTGAGGGTTGCTTTTAATTTCAACAAAAGTTCATGAATAAATTTTTTCTTTCAGTTTGAGTATTCCACACTTATGAGACGTAAAGACGTTTTAACCTGCAGGCATGCTCAGCAACACGCAATCTCTGGTCATACGTTCCAAAATGTCTGAAAGATATTGATTAGCGGCTTTTTTCGGGCCAATGACGGAGATCAACACGTTAAGTCTGCTTATGTTTCAGATATTTGACGACAACTTGTCGCAAATAACTATAGTGTATCTTGAGGTGATTCTGTGGTTCAAGATCGTTTTCAATGAGAATATCCTTGTGCTTTCATTGTCATCGTCCATGCCCTTGCTGCCATTTTAAAAAGATTTCCCCTTTCTACATCAATGCCAGTACCATACTGCATTTACGCATCACGTCTTGTATTATGATTGCAGATTTTCGTCCTTATACAATAGCTGTGGTACTTCGTCTATCTTTATCAACCTCAGCAGACTAAGATCTTCTCCAAAATGTGTTATATCCGATGTTACTTGGGATGCTTGGATAATGAAGAATAAAAACCCCAGAACTGTATGCTTACCAGGCGCCGACTATGAGCAGTAGTTCTCCTCAGTAACATCCTCTTTGAGATGGTTCACGAAATCGTGAATCCGGTTCAGAAGATTGTCTCTTGTCCTCAATTCTGGCATCTTTTAACTAGGAAACTTATATGAAACGCAATTCAAGGCCCTACTAAAATTAACGCAAACGATCTCAACTGACTTCGTTCACGTCATTTGACCGAAGTTAAAGTGGTGCAAAGACGTCTGTATAGCAGGATTCACTTTCGCTTACCAGAGGTGATAAACAATCGTTTGGCTGATTTCTCAGCTATTCGATATGAAGCATCAAGTGGAACTTAATCGTACAAATTCCAACTTCTCTAACACTGCCAAAAACAATCTGTGTCGTAAATAATAATTTGCTCGACTTCTAGAAGGGCATAATTCAAAACTGGCATGTTTGGTTTTATGTCCTTAACTTGGGGAACAGCAAACTATCTCAGTTGAATTGTCTTCAAAAGTCAAGTTGGCAAACACTTCATTTCTGTACTTCTTCGTCAGGCCAATACAGTTACATGAAGGAATGAAAATGCACAAAATTAACAGTGTGTATATGTAGGTGCCTCAAGGGCTATTAAATCATTAACACTCATCTTCCCCACGTCGCCGCATGACGAGGTCTGCGGGTTTTGGTCCATAGAGCTAGGGCGGGAGGGTAAGAGAATCTTTGTGTAATGTACTTAGGTTGAGTACACGGAATACCCATCACAGTAATTAGGGATTTGAGGCGGCATGTAGCCATCACATAAGGTTGGCTTTGGCCACGGCAGAGAGGTCGCTAGTGACAGGGATGCCTGACAGCATAACACCGGATTTGCTAGCCGTATATCCACTGCTTGTATCCGTTGGCGTAGGCCTTTAGAGAAGCTTGTTGCTGCCCAATAGACAACCTGAAATGCTTCCTTGGCATCGGCTCGGTGATCCGTATGGATTAAATGTGCTAGAATAGAACTCGAAATGGATCGGGTCTTGCCTCTGTGTAGCCAGGCGGGCATATGTTCACGCACCCTCTTTACCAGGTACCTCGTTGTACGGCCGATGTATCCCGTTGCACAGGAGCAAGTGGATGAGTAGATGAACACTGATGTGGCATCCAACGGCAGTCTGTCTTTAACATCCAAACGTAGGAGGAGAGAGTTTGTGAAACATATGCGTAAGTTCGCCCCGGGGAATGCCCTCGGGATAAGTGCAATTAAGAGCCGTCCGACTAGTTCCTCGCTGCGTCCCCTGCAAAAGGCAGTCTTATGAATACATCTTTCTTCTTTGCAGTCGCAACAGTGGGTTTTGCAGTGCGTTCCCCAATATTTCGGAGGATAAATCTACCTGTACGATTTCGATAATTATTCTGCAGTTGTTTAATGCTGCCGGTTTACAAATCTTCGATGTACTTCCCTTCCTTGTAACAAAGAGGGAGTTCAAAGGTGCAGCACCTACATTTCCTTAAAGGAAACTGAGCTGGACTGAGGTCAGAAATCCTCAAGTCTCGCCGACGCCCTTTAAAGGCAGCAAGCAATTCCTTCTCCGACAACATTCGACAGACTTCTTTAACGCATGTGTTGAATGGTGCTGTAAATGTGCTGTACTTTAAGGGATCAGGTGTGTACAGTGGACTCTGGTGAATCAAATGACCTGTTGATGGGGTTAGCCATTTAGGTCAGTATATAGGTCAGTATATTTTAAGGGTAATGGGTAGTGCCTTTGAAATCCCTATTGAAAACTGTAAATGCAATATAAAACTTTAAATAAACATGTACTAAGATGTTGTCGGTAATATATACACGTAACATAATATTTTCAGACAAAAGGTCTCAGGGAGTTGACCTGCGAACACGCAAGACCGCTTTTGCATATCTTCAGGTCGAGCTAGATGCTGAAGATCAGATACAGAGGACGTACATTACTCGATTTACTACGTCCACTATCTTGCATAATTGGGTCATTGAATGAACAGCGGGTTCACCAAAACAAATTAATGCATTTCGGTAGTCAGAGATGGTCTGTGGGTTGCAGGGGTCTGTCTCCCCTGAGCATTGAGAGACCAAATATTCACAGCACGTAAAGTTAATTAGGTCAGTGGTTAATTGGGTTCCTAACTTACCTGGGCGAAGTGTTGCCCATGTAATGGTAGGGGCGACACAGGGCTCGTCGATCTCGCCGACGCCGCCTCCGCGACGCCGGACGCATACTCGTCCGGTTGCCAACTTTCCCCTTCACTATACTGTACAGAATAAAGTGTCCTAACCAAGTGGCGTCCTGCCTCAAACAACTTGGGATATGGCCTGATGTTGTGGCGCACTGAGCGTACACCATCACCGCTGAGTCGCTACAAGGGTTATCAAGTCATTAACTCTCATCATCCCCACGCCTCCCGCATGACAGGATCGGCGGATGTTGGTCCTCAGAGCTAGGTGAGGGGGATAAGAGAGTCTTTGAGTGATGTTCTTGGATTGGGTACACGGAGTACCCATCAAAGTAATTAGGGACTTGGAGCGACATTTACTTTAATTTAATTTATTAAATGCCAGTTTACAGGCATTGTCAAGGGAAGCGATTAAACACAAATCCGACCAGCAGTGAAAAAAACTCCTGAAGAATAAAAATATAGTTGATGATGGTTTCTATGGTTTGGAGGGTTCAGGAGAAAAAAAACTGCTGTCGTCATCACGTGAGGTTGGCGTTGGCCACGGCAGAGATAGCGTTTGTGTCTGGATTCGCTAGCCGTATAGTCACTGCCTCGGCCGTTGCTAGCATCCGTTGGCGTAGGCCTTCAGGGTATCCGGCATACAATCTGAAATGCTTCCTTGGCATCGACTCGGTGATTCGTATCGACTAAATATGTGATAAAGGAACTCGAAATCGTTCGGGTCTCACCTCTGTCTAACCAGACCGGCAATGATCACACACCCTCTTTACCAGGTGTCTCGTTGTACGGCCGATATATCCCGTTGCACAGGAGCAAGTGGATGAGTAGATGCCTTCAACGGTAGTCTGTCTTTAACATCCAAACGTAGGAGGAGAGAGTTTGTGAAACATACGCGAGAATTTGCCGCGGAGGAATGCTCCCCTGATAGCTGTAGGTAAGCGCAGTCTAACTAGTTCGCCCTCTGCGTCTCCTACAAAAGGCAGCCTTACGAATACGTCCTTCTTGTCCGTAGTCGCAACAATTGGCGCGTTTCTGCATATTTCGGAGGATAAATCTATGTGGGTATCCGTTCTTGCGAATTCTCCTTATTCACGTCATTTGACCGACATTCAAGTGGTGCAAATACAGTGCGTGACCGATGTCATGATTTGTTTGCCCAAATTCTGGAATGAGTTTCCGATTAGGAAAGATTACGTAAAAGAGATTGTTATACTGATTATTCTGAAGCAGAACCCTATAACATTTCGGACTCGCCAGGATGTCGGCTTTTAAATGCATTTCTTTCTGACCTCCTGCAGAAACCGCATTCGGTAAAAAATGACCACTTACGTAGCAGGAAATTTTCCTATTGAATTTCGATGGTAATATTAATTCAAATATATTTTATAGAGAACATGCACAAACATGTACGCTCTTTTCCTCATTTTGTAGGAAATCACTTTGTCTTCATATTGTCTGCCCGAAGAAAGTGCATATTTTAGTTTTAAAATGTTTCTATCTATGAGATTGTTAAGACCGTGCGATGTCGATGCATGCAAGACCGCACATTTTCGTTTAGTAATGCTCCTCATGAAATGTACAACACAGGCCGGATCCCTTGCAATATTTAAGGAACTCTCTGTGGGTTATTCTTAAAGACATAGAGGAATATATGATATTCCTCACGCGGAAAGCATGTACCTTGTAGACTGAAATTACTTAATCATCCCCCCACCCCTCCCTGGACGTCCTTAGGATTCTTGACGAACAAGGGGCGATATGTCATGAGACATATACCACATATAATACGTAAACAGCTCATTAAGAGTGCAGCGGACCGGGCCCATACAGCAGCTATCTGGCGGGCGCACAGCATTGAGGGTCACACCACTACTTAACATGTTTATATATACTTCGTATGGCCTATTACGTACTGATTATCGGTAACGACCGTGA